ACATTTCCATAAATCTTTATTTAACAAGACTTCTTGGTAATTTTTTTAATTGATATGTAGGCAAAATGCATTTCTACTGTTTTTATGATATAGGTTTTTTGCTGAAGTCAAGTTTTCTCTTAAATAAGACTTCTCTAACGTCACAGTGTATGGCAGTGTATGTTAGCATGGAACGCTATGGCTGATTTGGGCTTTTTCAGTTTGCCGTCGTCACTTAAAAGGTGGTAATTAATGATGTTTTGTTGATTTTGTGTCCCTAATTTATAAGGATTAGGATTATAAGGATTAGGATAAGGCACTGGTTAGTTTCCCCACCTCACACTTTCTTCTTAAGTTTATCTGGCAGCTTAATTACCATTATCCCCACAGAAGTTTCTTTCACATTATTCCTGCTGTCTTTGAGAAAGAGGCCTTTAAAAAAGTTCGTTAGAATAAATATTTAACGTATATATCCTCGATTCTGATATTATACATTGTAAATTCCACCATTTAGCTTCTTAAATCTGCACACTTTATATATCAAAGACAACAGCTGTTTCAATATCTCAGGTTGTGCTCTTTGTGTTGGATCCAGTTCACTGGAAGGAGCTGAAAACATGAAGCACTAAAAAACCGATACCAGGTGGCTCACTGAAAAAGGTTCATCCTTTCACACTTCCAAACAGTCTCCAAGCAAATTCGCTGATGTAAAATTGGCTACTTTAAAAAATACTAACACAAAGATTTAACTCTCTCCCTTCTGCACACAAAAACACACAAAGTATATATAGTGTGTCAGATATGGAAGCTACATGACTTCATAAATGATTCAGCCAGATGTATTTACATATCAAACCCTGCCGCCCATCCCCACATGAGCGAGCGTGTGCTCACATGCACACACGTTGCAGCGTAAACTGTGTTTCTGAGCTGCTATTAAAACCAGCTTCCTCTCTGACATCTGAGAGCTCCTCTTTGATCTCCAGACTGCTGACCTGTCACAGTAGCTGTATCAATTAACATTTATTTGAAAAGGCAGGGTTTGGTCCACAGAGATACAACTGAGTGTTTTAATATGGATTTCTTTTAACGTTGTAATATGTGATGGTAAATTACGCTGAGTCTGAAACAATGAATCTGATCTAAAGACTGATTTTTATGCACTATTTGAAAAATATATAGATACTAATATTAACAATATACAAATTCAGTCCCCTTATGTGACAACCTAAAATGGTTTATATAACATTTTGTGCATGGAGCGCTGTATTAAGATACCATTTAAAATAGTTTTATGAGAGCGGACCAACTTGTTAGAGAGGTTTTTCTAAAATCTGTGACAATTATTCTTTGTCTTGCATTTAGTTTTATGAGTAACAAAAGGGAGGGGGAAAAAAGTTGTTTTATTAGTAATTTATTTAAAAAGCAGCAGAATAAAGAATAAACATGCGGGTCTAAAGCCCTCCATATTGTGTGAATCTGGTGTTAGAAACAAGCTAACTGTGTGTGTATTTCTGCTCTTCTTGGACATATGTGTGTGGTCTTTTAACTGTTTCCGCCCCCTCATCTGTGATGTGATATTAACTGGTGGATTTTTTTGACGCCTGTAAAATCGCCTCATTACCCAGTAGCTTCTGAAACCATCTTCTGCATCATTAGACACATGCCTGTTGTAAAATATGCGCTACAAGTGTAAATCAGGTTTCTGTGTTCTTGCAGAAAAGCTTAAAATCACGATTGGTGAGGAATTTAATTCATTTGTTTACCTTTTTTTTACTCAAAAGAATAGTGAGGGACGTGTCTAAAGAGGAATGCTGGAAAAAAAAACACACATAAAACTGAGCCAAGACATCAGTAAATGCAAAATAATTTTTCCTCTTGTGCCTGCATATAAAAAAACACAGACTTTTACCCATAACCTGTTCTAACCCTGTCGCCACATCAAACACCATTTGCAGAAGACAGAGGATCCACAGCAGTATGTACTACCACAAGACACAGACTCGGTGTTCATCTGTTGATATTTAATGCTAAACCAACACGCTTAGTGAAAATCAACACAGCAATCTGTTTGGCAGGGGAGAGGTGGCTTCAGGGGAAGAAGGATTTGAAGAGGACTGCTCACATGAGACCTCAAACACACACTGAACATATTCTTCTGTTAGTTTTTTGTTGACATGAGTTTTTCACATATGGCTGAATCCTATTGCTACAATCTATTGTAGCTCGATACAGTGTCCCCATGACTTTGGATAATCCACAGGCATTACTGCCACTTGTTTGGTAGAAAGTAATGCCAAAAGATGTTGCTGTTTATTAATGATTTATTATTATATTATAAATGTAATCTGTCACTGCTTTGAACACCACAAAAGAAATTCTATTGACCCCTATTGTATTGGATAGATGGCAGTAAGCTCAGCTATCTGTGCAACCTGTGCAAAGTGAGGGCTCGCTCAGGCTTGATTGTTGACAAAAAAACAACTTATCGGCAAGCTGCTCCAGTTTTGGTGTGTGGCTAGCTTTTTTCTTAATCTATGATTCTTTTGCCCTCTCTTGCCAAGAGTTAGATGAGAAGATTGAAATACTCTCATGTCTGTATGCTACATATGAAGCTACAGCCAGCAGCCGGTTAGTTTAGCACAAAGACTGGAATGGGCAAACAGATAGCCTGGCTGTCCAAAGTTGACAAGAGCTCACTAAATGACATGTTACATCTCATTTGTTTAATTTATACAAAAACCGACATGTAAAAATGTCAATTTCCCTTTTTTTCTGACCATTTCTGAGAGCAGCAACTTCCTGCAGCCTCTGCTGGTTAATAGCTCCACAAATTGATGATTTTTACAGTGTATGGATTAACAGACGAGATCTAACTTGTTGCTGCTAGTCAGATTTTGTAAGCTTCAGACAGAGCCAGGCTAGCTGTTTCCCTCTATTTGTATGTCTTTGTGTTAAGTTAAGCTAACCAGCTGCAGGCTAGCAGGCCAGGTGATTCTCTGCCAAAGAGCGAATAAGCGTATATAAAGTGTAAAGGTTAAGTGGATTGCTTAAGTGTGTGCAGTTCTGGTGTTTATCTGAACAATGGAAGCTCCAAAATGAACACCCTATTGAAAACACTGTATCATAAATTGGTTATTATCTCTCAAACTGAACAGGAAATGTTTAATTTAATCTGAGGTAATCAAAGTTAAACTGCTCTCCACAACAGCTTTCCTCTGTTTTAATAATTGCTTCCTGTCTGCCTTCTCTTCCCTTAACCCAGATAACTGTTCACTGTGTCAGGAAAACACTTCTTTACACTGTGGTGTTTGTGAGTGTGTGTGCCCTAAGCGTTCATTTGCTGTTTTTTATAGTCCTTTGAGGCCCGCTGTCACTGCTCTGTTCTCATACTATAACGAGACCTGTGGGACGCTGAAACACACATATACAAAAGGACACACACACACACACAGCGAAAGATAAAAAGTAATCTTTCAGGGCTCTGCAAAGCCAATAACAGCTTTTACAATGAAGGAAAAGGCAGTAAGCGAAGAATGACCAACATAACAGCATTACAGCAGGTCATGTAGCAAGGTTTGCTTCCATCTCTGAGGCTGCTGTCAGTGCCACACAACGCCTCCAGAATTGATCTGTCACCTGCAGGATTTCCGTGTAAGGCTACAGACACCCCGTCAACACTGGAGACGCTCATAACACTTCATCGTGCTAACCAGCTAATCGTTGGAATCTCATTTCCAATGTTTCCTTGGTGATGAAAGGCTGAGATGACAAACAAATAGATACCAGCTGCTGAGATTCAGCACGCTGAGGACAACTCATGACTGACACTGCAGCTGCTGCAGCGTCCTGAATTACTGAAGCTGTCACTATTAAATATGCTTTGCTTGTAATGTCACATGTTGTTAGTGATGCAGGTATGATGCAGCTTTTTCACATAAGATTGAAATGTGTTTTTGCTGTTTTAAAAATACATTATCCATATGCTGTCCCAATGTCTTAATTTTTATGCCAAAAACTAAAAAGTAGGTTGTTCAGTGCACATCTCCAGGGTAACAGGAACAACATGGATGCATAGCAACCCTTTAATATTCATAACTAAGTAAAACTCAAATCATAGTGAGTTTTACAACACACTGGTTCTTTGTATTGGTGTTGGATAAAATATTTAGACCCCTCAAGCCTAGGATACAGCTCTTACTTTTTCATCATATATAAGCCCAAACACACTTAACTGCCTGATATCTGGCATAATAAAGGGCCAGTACTGATACCTCTACAACACTTGAGCCAATACTGATGACATTTGTTTTTTATCATAACCATGGACAAGCATTTTTTGATAACAATCCCTTTAAGAGTCATTGCAATATTGTTGTATATTTAATATTTCACTGTTTCAGTTGCCTTGAACAAACACCATTTCCCATAAGCCTTATGCCTTTGAGGGCTGAACATCACATCTTGACAAAAGAGCAGATCCATGGGCGACTCGAGGGGTCACGGTTAGTTCAGACATTTCTGTAAAAACAGCAAGTCGCTGGAGACATTTATAGACATTACAGACATTACAGCTAAAACGAATGGGAAAATTACTGTAGGACATGGACAAAAACAAGCTACCAGAAATACCCGTGCTGTTGTGCTTATATATTTTCAGGGGAGCTGTAGTTTCATTGCTAAAATCACAAAGATTTAAATTTCTAACAGCAACTGCTGTAGAGGCAGTCAGTTTGTCTTGTTGAATGTGGAAAGTAAACCTCAGGAACACACTTCATGTGTCCATAAAGACCATTGAAATGCCGAATGAGAGATTGTACTGAGCTACAGAAGCTAGAGGCTCGCCCAGATGTGACATCATGACTTCAGCTCTCCATAGACACAAAGCAAAATGACTGTACATCATACACACTCACACACACACACACACACTGACTCACACACAGTATTATATCCTCAGCTGCTCCGTCAGCCTTGTTGAGACAGCAGGTTGTCTAATTGACTGACTTGATTGGTCTCATATGTGTCTGCTCTCCCGTACAACCTCATTTGTCACTACTGGGACAGAAAAAAATGAGGAGGGAGGCAGACACAGTTTCTCAAACACATCTGACATCTGTGCGTGTGTGTGTGTGTAGACGTCAGTAGTAGAAGCGAGCAGCTAAAGAAAGAAGGTAAGAGGAAGGTAAAAGAGGCAGGAAGGAAATATCAGTATTCAGCCTCAAAAACACGACAGACTGAGATTAGAGAGGAAAAGAAGGATGGGAAGAAAATAAAGACAGAGAGACAGGAGAAAGGGAAGAGAAAAAAGGATTTCAATTAGCCTGTTTGAACGCTTGCTGCTCGCTGCCTGCGCTGGTGTTTGGTGATTGACAGCTCATGAAGAGCGTTCTGCCACATGGGCCTCACCCACTCACCCACTCTCTCTCTTTCTCTACCACACACACACACACACACACACACACACTCACACACTTTGTAAAACATCCTGAGCTGCTCTGCCTTCTTTCCTGGAAACAGCTGCTGACAGAACATGTCGATCTCACCCGCCAACGTTTCCCCTTTGTTTTATGTTTACCCCCTCCTCGTCTTTTTCCTGGTAGAAAAGAAGTCCTCTCCTCCTTTCTCTTCTTGTTCTCATCTTCCACCTACTCCCTTCTAACCATTTCCACTTATCTTCCTCCTCCTCTGTTCATAACTTCACCTCCTCGTTGCTCCTCTTCCATTCCTCTTTACCTCTAAGTTTCTCACCTTCCTTCCTCCTCGCCTCGTCATTTTGCTCCCTACACTCTCGCCATTTATCTTCCACTCAGTCACCTCCCACGTTCCTATCAAAATCTCCTCCACCTCCTCGTTTTTCAAAATTCAATCTCAGCCAAGTGTTTTTGACAAGATTCAATGTGTCATACCCACAGAAATCTGTACAGACAGCAAAAATCCCCTGTATACAGTCTGTCCTCACTTGAAGCTGTTTTTTTTGTTTTGTTTTTCCAACTAAAGAAATTTAGCAAAAACAGCAATGAATTATTCTTTTTGTACTGACATATTAGAGTGATTAGCTATTGAATCATTCAGTGCTTCAAAAGTGTCTCTGATGTTTAGGAAATGAATGAATGGTTGAACTTCAGAGAGCTGCTGCTGAATGTAGTAAATCAGCAGCAGAAACCGACTGAAAACTGTGACATGAAGATCCACGCTTGGTGACTCCTCGGATCTTGACTTGGAGCAGAGCAATCAATTCAAATTGTTTGAAATTCATAGAGTTAATGGAATGGATTATTCATGGCCGCCTTAGATCTTAAATCACATTTCACTTCCACTTCCCAGAACTTCACTTGAAGATGATCTCTCGTTTCCTCTCTCATCAGTGAGTCTGGTTTCTGGTCTCTCTTTTCTCTCTCGCCCTCTGTTTCTGTGTCTCTCTTTTCAAATTACTTGCCATTTTTCTCTTGATCTCACAAAACACACACTCTCACGCATACACCTGTGTGAGGGGAAACCCCAGGACTGTTCCACCATCTGGAACTGCTCAGCACTACTGCAGTGTGTTAACAACACAGAGAGAGAGACAAATATACCGCTAATTCAAAAGCTAAAATTACTGTTAGAAGTAACAGCAGACAATGATAACGTCATTTGACTTGTGCAAGCGCTGTGTCATCACACACACACACACACACACACACACACACACACAGTCACATGTCCATTAC